GCCATCTTTCACACATTTCGTATATAAAGCTATCTTCAAGTCTTCCTTTGTATCAAAACAATCATCTTTCTTGATACGAATAACTTTTGTGTAACAATCAACTGCTTTCTTTATCAACTCTTCTTCCGGTATCTGAAGTAATTCTGGCATATTCCAGTTATACGCCCGTGGCATTTTCTTTTCTTCGGGGACTTTTTCTTCTTCTTTTTCTTCAGGATTATATGAATTACAGAATGGATGTTCAACATGTTCATTCACAGTCGTAACTTCCTCCTCATTATCATCAACATTACATTCTTCGGCAACGGCTGTTTCATCATCAAAATTCGGGTATTGACCAATATCAATATCATTACACGCATGGTCTGTTTCTTCTTCTGAAACATCATCAAAATCCGTGTATTGACCAATATCAAAGTCCGGATATTGACCAAGACCAAATTTCGAATACTGACTAGTACTCACAATTTTTTCTGTTGGCTCATCATCGTCTAACTGGTCAATACGAAAACCGGAATTTGGTGCTGAAAGTTGATTGGGATTTGGATTAGAGAAAGGTTGTGGGTTTTGAGAAAAACTTAGTTGATTACTACCCGCTACTGACCCAACAATACTACTTCTAGGTTCAACAACATACAATGTAACATCATCTTGTGAAACACTAATGTAAGCAATGAATCGTTCAACATCTTCATTGTCGGTTAACAAATAAACTTTACCATTTCTCTGATAAGATAGCCTAAATCCACTTAGGGGCTCTAAATTCAATTTATTTGAAACACGTAGCATTAGAGTTTCATAAGTTAACTTTTGTAAAGACAATTTTAGTTGAAGATTCATGGGTAAAGGCATATATTGTAAAACACCATGAACATTATCCCATGACCCTCCAAAACACAAATCTATCCAAACATGATCAACATTAGATGATTTCATGGTTGTAAATTAATTTACTAAACAGACGAGCTGCGAAACTAAAACCTGTTGCCGGATTGGGAAGGATGTCGTTGGATATAGGAACGGATGTCGCCGGAGAGAGTGATAGATGGAGATGGAATGAGTTGCGATTTAGGGATTTAGTTTATGATTTCAGTGTTATATACCCAAAATTTCAGTGTTGTGATTTACAGATTCTCGTTGCGATTTACGGATTATCGTTGCGATTTACAGATTCTCGTTGCGATTTACGGATTATCGTTGCGATTTACGGATACGCGTTGCGATTTACGGATTATCGTTGCGATTTACGGATACGCGTTGCGATTTACGGATACGCATTGCGATTTACGGATACGCGTTGCGATTTACGGATACACGTTGCGGTTTACGGATACGCGTTGCGATTTACGGATACGCGTTGCGATATACGGATACGCATTGCGATTTACCCATACGCGTTGCGATTTACGGATACACGTTGCGATTTACGGATACGCGTTGCGATTTATGTGTTCGCGTTGCGATTTTCATATTCGCGTTGCGATTATGGAAAATCGCAATGCGAATTTGTACTATCGCATCGCGATTTTCAAGAATCGCGTTGCGATTTTGGAAACTGATTTGCGATTCTGGAAACTGATTTGCGATTCTGGGGATCGCGTTGCGATTTTTATTTCGCGTTGCGATTTTGTTGGTCATTTTGGCAAATCCAAAAAAAGTTGGTTAAAATCGTATATTATAACTTTTTTTTTGTCACTGAGGCGATTTTCTCTTTTAATTTCCCCTGCCTGAGGTAACAGATGCAACCCCATCACCTTTATTACCCTGAACCACTGCCATTAAAGCTACACTATGATAAACACAAATATGATCCGATACAGAATTAGGATTAAATATTTAAAAAAGTAAGATATCTAAATTTAAAATAATATGGACTTATTTTGTATGTAACCCAAAAATTAGACGGGAAAAAGTCTAATTTTACTTAAATTTAAACCGATAAAGACTTAAAATGCTACTCGTCATTATAATTTATACAAAGTTGAATCATCATTTCAGAAATCTTTAGGTTTGATATAATATTTGGTACCAAAACTTGATACTACTTTATTTTAATTTAGTACAATTTGGTACACGAGTTTAGTATTTTATCCCAATTTGATACCCGAGTTGGTTATAAACTTAGTTTAGAGCTACTGAAGTCGGTTTCTCAAGGTTTATCAAAGCAAATACATTACCGATTACCTTTCCCAGATGATAGAGTATTCCCGTAGGGATGAAAGTAGAGTACTTCCTCCTCAAGTTCCACCCCAAACTTGCTGTGAACTTTTTCCTTGGCCAAAGCAATGAGGTTGAGCATGTCTTGAGAAGTGCAGTCACCATTATTAACAAAGAAATTGGCATGGATATTGGACACCATTGCTCCTCCGACGCAACATCCTTTCAATCCGGCTTTCTCAATCAATTCACCAGCCGAAACACCCAAATTCGTCGGATTTCGAAATACGGAGCCAGCACAACGTTCCCCTACCGGTTGAGTATATCTTCGCCTGTAAATAAAAAAATGTGTTATCAGTAAGCAATCCTTTTCATACACAGGTTTTAAAACACTGCCACAATTCATAACCTCTTCAAAAGCTCTTTTTGCCTTTTCCTTGCTGACAGCGACCCCTCTAGCCGGAACGTAACCGCAACAATCGCTGCCAAGTCCTTCATGTCTTGGAACGGTGATGATCGGTAGCTGAAACTGAGATCAACTCTGTTCAGTGTCCGAAATTTTCCTTCGGTTGTAACAATGTCTATGCTGTCAATGGAATCGGCAATCTCCTTCAAAAAGCAAGTGATACTTTTTAGCTTCTTCAACCGAGAAAAATTTTGCCAATCCATTAATGATTAGGGTTTAATCTACTTAAGTTCATGTCCAAACTCGAGTCCCTTGCATAATTCACAACTCAAAAGTTTGAATCAAGTGTGATAGACTTTTTCTCCTTTTCATGTTGGACTTCGAGCTCGACTATTTTTGCTCAAGCTTGAATTCCGAATTAGAACCAGCTAGGTAACTCGAACTCAATAATGACCGAATCAAATCCGAGCTAACATACCTGACCATTTGCTCCAGCGTTCATGTAAGCAGCACCCCCTGCAGTCCCAGGAATGCCTGCTGCAAACTCAAGACCTGTAAATCCTTCATTGCAACTCAAAATTCCCAAATGATTAAATCGAAAACCACTACCAACCCTATAAACTCCAGGTTCCGTCCTCTCTAAGAAATCGATCTGATTTAGAATCACACAACCATCAAAACCCAGATCATCAAAGAGACAATTTGACCCTTTGCCAATCACAATGTATGGAACGGAAAACTCGTGACAATATCTGCATTACATCAGTTGAAATCTAATTTTACTAAATGTCATTCATTCGAATCAAACGCAAGTAAATTCCTCCACTTTTACTTCACTAAGTTCAGATGAAAGAGAGAGAGAGAGAGAAGAACGAAACCTGATGGCAGAAAGCAGGTGGGTTTGGTTAAAGACTTGGACAAAGTAATTGCAAGGGCCACCAATGCCCCAAGTGCAAAGATCCTTCAAGTGTTTCTTGCCTCTCACAAATTTCAAGCCATTCCAGCTCTGGGTTTGCTCTTTGTGATGGAAAAAAATGGTAGTGGAGTTTGTTGGGGATGGAACAGTGGGAAAGGCCACGGACGCCATTTTAGTGAAGTTGGGAGCTTGAAACATATGAGTGATGGACTTTGTCGTCTGTAAGTTGAGAATGGAAAATTTATTTCAGACACGTTCTTCCTCGGCTGTCATTCTCAAGGATTTAATTCAACATTTTTTGGGATAATTGAGCTTTTTTTTATTTAATATTAGGGTAAATTACAAGCTTAACTATCTTATAATTCTTATTTTACTCACCAAACTTTAATTGTTTTCAATTTAATTACTCAACTTTGAATTTGAATTTTTTTTAATAACTCTACCATTTTCTCCCCAGTCCCCAACCCTATGATTTAAATTTGTTTTGTAAATAGTCAGAATGAATGAATCCTTCTTCTGGAAATACTTGTAAAAAACATCAAAAACAAAATCCAATCAATAAACCCAGAAAACCAAACTGAATTCAAGTCTTCTGTTTATTAGCAGGGGTGTAAATGAATTGCGTTTAAACGAACAAGGTTATGTTCTCGTTCATGTTCATTCATTTATTGTTCGTGAACGTGTTCGTTTATATGTTCGCGAACATGTTCGTTTATATGTTCGCAAACATGTTCGCTTGTATGTTCACGAACATGTTCGTTTAACGTTCATTTAGTGTTCGTTTATATGTTCAATTTTTAATTTTACCCTTTATTTGCAAGCTAAAGAAAAATGGGAAAATTATGTCAATAGTACTTAAACTCTTTAAAATTCACAGGTTAAATTATGTCGTTTATTCTAGTCTTCATTTTCAGCTTTGTTTCTCTCAATTCTGCGTATGCATTATCAGCTTTGTTTATCTCAATTCTGCGTATGCTATGTATCTGGGAGACTGGGACCTCTTTCCATTATAGAACTCTATGTTGTGTGCCTAAAGGGAATTTGGTTACTAGGGCTTGTATTCTGAGAAAGAATAAGAGAGATAGGAAGGTTCATTCTGTTTAGTGCTATGTTCTTTTTAGCAGAAGAATTGATTGAAGAAGAGAGCAAAACTAATGGATTGGGGTATATTATATCATGTTGTGCTTATAGATTCAATACTAAAAGTGACTTTGAGAGTAGCAACGGTCTAATTGACAGAGAAGAGGGACAGAGTCTTTTGCTTTTATTGTTGTCGACTTGTTTATCAATTTCTCTTTATATTATATATGTTACCAACATTCTTATTTTAAACTGGATCCAAATTCATCCATCTTGCTTAAGGTCTTTTGCTCTAAATCATGGACTGGCCGATTCCCTTAAGAGACAAGACAGCAGTAAATATCTATTTCCATTACACAGATTCTGAAGAGTTGCCTAGAAAAGAACAGATGCCGGCTAAATGTTTGTCAAAGGTTGATTCAAATGTTCATACATACATGCATGTAATGTGATCAAACTTTGTGATGCTTGTACTTCTGCCCTAAATTGAATCTAGTGATTTTTTGGCAGAACCCACTCAGCGCCAGTGTCCTCACTGCCTCAACTCCTTGTTCCAGTGCATCATCAATCGTCAAAAATACCCTATGTTACCAGGAATCTTCATTTTCCCTAAAGTAACCATGCATGAAGCATATTTAGATGTGGATATGGAGGCATGATTCTCCAAATATATTAAAAATAAAATAAAATACCCATATCCGACACGCTCCCCTGTTCTCCATCATTGTTGTACACGTAATTTAGGAGAATGACAAGAAGAGGTAACTAAAATCTCTCTCTCAGAATGGTTGAATTGAGTAGTAACGTACCTGATTTCGCTCCACAGGACTGAACTTCTGTAGAAGATAAGCTTTCATGTCCATAGCACCAGGTGGATTTCCAATCCCTGAACCATAAGCAGCTCTTTTAGAATTGTGGAACAGTAAATCATATGCATATAATGTTGTTTTCTGAAAGGAATGTGTGTTTATGTTGCGAATATTTCCCAGTTAAGCCAAAAACAATATGATTTAGGAGCCCAACTATGCACAACCGAGGAAACTCACGGCTGCCATCCAAATGTCCCATCACACTCTTCACTCTGCAACAAGAAAGCAAGAGTCAAATATTTTTGAATCACCATTTGTCGAGTGGGAAGAAAGGTGAAGATCACACTTTAAGATTTATTTATTATTCCATATCATAAGAACGTAAATATGAGCTAGTATTGCTCAAATCTGTAAGATAAAGATTACTCGATGAATATGCAGAATGATCAAACTTAGATTACCAAGAAAACAATTTAGAACTAAACAATGTCTACACAAACCAGACTCGCAAGTCTTCGTCACATGGGCAGAAATGAGGCAAAAGAGCAACAATTTAAGCAGCAGCAAATTGCCTCGGGATAGACATAGACATCTCAACCGACAGATGAAGTTTAATACTGCCTCAGAAGTTCTCTAATCAAAAAGAAGTTTCTTAGACAACACATATAGGTTAACGAGATAGATGGTAAACTTCATATGCTGCATGACAAGTTCATGTATATAAAACAAAGGCTTCTTAAGTAAACCAGCTAGATGCAAAGGGAGACTCATAGAGATTCTGCTGCTAGTAACATCAACGGAACATACCCATTATGATGGCCATGTCCTCCTTTCGGCTGAAGCCTCAAAACACCATTCGGCAAGCTCATCTCATCATATACCTACATTGGAAAGCTCAAAGTCAAATATATTCTACACAAAAAAAAACTAAAATAACAATAAACTCAGTTATAAAATTCGGAACCATTAGAGATAGAAATGGTTTTAAGTAGATGTAAATCATTCACCAAAATGTCATTTAAAAATAATGAAAAAGGATGTGGGAGAAGAGATATATACAAGAGGAAGGGGCACACATTCCATACACATTCTTTATTGACCCTCATATAAACCACTACAATTTATCAATGTCTATTCCCAATTCAAACATGCATGGAATTTTACACGAATGTTTAGGTGAACAGCTCAGAGGCAAGAAGTTTCAGTAGATCAGTCCTACGCTTAATTTATAGAACTCAAGTTGACTGTCCTGAGTCCTGAAACTGACAAATTTCTCAAGTATCTCCAAAGAAAAAAGGAATTGTTGAACCAAAACGTGATGAGATTCTGCAAAAGGACATGTGAATGCATAACCATGAGAAAAGGGAAAAACAAAATGTACGACTAATCGATTCCCCACTGAAATTCATGTATGCCTGAGGTTTTGCGAACAAAATTGGGTACTTCTACAATGCACCTGTACTGATCATGAAAGAAATCCAAGTAAACCATCAAGCATAACCACAAATCTCAAAAGACAAAGATTGAATCCCAGACAAAGCTAAATAAACAAATAAAAGAGTTAAGCAACGCAAAAACAAAATGTATACCTATTCCAATCAGAGCTTTTGATTGCTTAGTATTCAACATAATCCTTCCGAACGAGAAATTTGATCAATCATTTCGAAACCAACCTGATAAATACAAAAATGTAAATTAGATATAAACGAAAAGAAAAATAAGCTGTCAGCTTCATAATTTGTAATTCATTACGTTGTGCCGGGTTCCATGGTACTTAATTCCTGGATTACCCAACCCAACAATCAACCATGGTGTATAGTCCACTTTAAATCCACCATTATTATCTGGCAACGAAGCACGCAAACAAAGTCTTCTTGATCCTTGATTCCTTGGACCAAAACACCGGCTTCTTGGATACGAAATGCAAGTATTTGGAAATTGGAACAGAGATTGCATGCAACATTGACCTAAAACAAACATAGCAGAAAATATTTATTCATTTTAATAAAATAAAGAACATTTAGGCTTTCTGTACCCGTAGTTCCTTTATCTAAAAGATTCTATCTTTGTTCAATATAATTTTCTCTTTATAGCATAATCTAAAAAATGGGAAATTACAAAATTCATTGTTTTGGTGCATTTCATTCAGATTTCTACGTTGTTTCGTTTCCATAGCCAACTTAAGGTAAGACTCAATATTTATAATGAGTTCTTACTACAGCAGAAAATACATTGAAAAGTCAGCAAACTATACCAGAGAGACCCCCCAAAAAGGAGTAGACTTTAAGTAACTAATAAGATAAGCTCACTGCTTTTTCTTGCAACTCACATTCCTAAAAAAAATCTCTGAAACACGCACACACACACGAGTATAAACATAAACAATGAAAACTGATAGTAAATAAAGAAAAAGAATTAACCTGTTTCACTTGGGTACTTCAATTCAGTAAAAGATATTGATAAAATAAAAAAGGGGTACAGATAAATACGGGGAAGGAAGAGCGAAGCCGAGATTTTGTTGCAAAGTCTCAATATTTATAATGAGTTCTTACTACAGCAGAAAATACATTGAAAAGTCAGCAAACTATACCAGAGAGACCCCCCAAAAAGGAGTAGACTTTAAGTAACTAATAAGATAAGCTCACTGCTTTTTGTTGCAACTCACATTCCTAAAAAAAATCTCTGAAACACGCACACACACACAAGTGTATAAACATAAACAATGAAAACTGATAGCAAATAAAGAAAAAGAATTAACCTGTTTCACTTGGGTACTTCAATTCAGTAAAATATATTGATAAAATAAAAAAGGGGTACAGATAAATACGGGGAAGGAAGAGCGAAACCGAGATTTTGGTGAATTTGTGTTCAGAATTGGTGGTTTGGGTATTTCATGCGTTTGGATGAGTTTCCTGTGATTTTGATGAATGTAAATATGATTAACAACCGATTACTGGGCTTCTAAACAAATTTAGGCTTTTTCTAAGGATAAAGAGATATTAATCTGATTATTGATTTTTCAATTTTGTTAGTTATATTTTAATTATTTAAATAATGTTTAAGTCACATACAATTAATATTTAATGAGGTAGTTAACGTGATAGTTGATTTTTTATATAATTATACATTTTTCTTTATTACTTATAAATTCTATCAATTTAATTTTAATTCTAACTTAATTTAATAAATTTAATACAATTATATGGTATTTATTTGCATATATCAATGTTAACCTATATTGAAATAGTAACTTAATACTTACCAAAAACAAACATTGATGTAATGGGACAATCGTTTCTTTTCAACTGATAAATTATTTTTACTCTTTAAAATTTTATAAATTTATCCATTCTAAATTTTTAAAAATTTGTTCCTATAATATAAAATATTATGTTTGTCTCTGTCAATTGCTTGTAAAAAGAAAATGTTGGTTGTTTGTATTTAAATTCGATATGTATTTGCATGTAATAGTAACATTACAAGGACCAACTACAAATATTATAGATGAATCATAGTTCATCAAAGCACATTGAAGAAGTCCATACGATGAGTTTATTCCTGCTTAAACCCAAGTAATAACATTACCTAATTACTTTTATATAATCGTTGTTCATATTCTGATGCCAGTAATTCTACTTAAACCAAAGCAAAGCTAAGATTTTTAACACCGAGGATATTCAACACCACAAGAGCTAGCAATGCCTTTAGCTTTAGGAGTGTCCACGAACATTTTAATGGTTGGGTTCTTAAGGTACTGGCAAAAACATGGCTTCTGCTCCTTCAGCTTGCTGCAACAAGTCTTCGATGGAGGCTTCGGCGACATGATCGCCTCCATGCACGGGCTGAGCTCCGAGACATCACATGTAACTGCTTCCGCCATTCGAATTTCCCCTGAAAACAGCACCGCCGCCACCAGTGCCACCACACACAAGGAAACAAGGAGAACCTGTGCATGCTTTTTTTCCATATTTGTAACAAAAAAAAGTTAGAATGGTAATTTGGTGCACTTCGGGTATTAGCATTGGAACAATTTATAGGAGTTGGGAGGTAACAGTTGGAACTTTAAAAGAAATCTTAGATTTTATTTTTAGATTATAAAGTAATAATTGTTCATAATTTTTCTTAATTATTAATAATGTACACACATTTCAAACGCAATTGTTCGAACACGAGTGTTAAAACTATTTATTACCTTAGTAATTATTAAAAAAAAAATTCTTTACACCATGCTTTAAGGGTGTTAAACTATAAATAAGTAAAGTGTTAAGAGGTTTAAGCTTGAAAAAAAAAGTGGGTTCTTAGATGCCATCATCTTGTTGTAGATTTGCCATCGATCATTGTTGGAGTTTGGTGGTACCTTCACTATGTTGCATATTAATGATTATAATTAACATTCATCCATCAATGGAGACTTTAAAGTTTTTCTAGTAACTCCCAAAAACATTTGAATACGGGCAGTCAACAAAGCTTTGTTACTTCATTTCTAGTGCAAGTGTCCATACGAGTACGGTTGGGATTTGAAAATTCTTAAAGTGAAGCCATGTGATACCTCCACTAGCTAAGAGGAGGATGATAGGCGTAACACTTTTCATACCTACAAAACCATTAAAAAGGATAGTTCTTTTTCATACATATTTAAACTAATTACAATTCCAATTTTTTAAATAAAAAGTTACAATTAAATATATATTTAACATTTATTTTTAAAAATATTAATTGACTTAAAAGACTCCATCAATACTAAAAATAATTATTTATTGCTTGCATTTGTTGATAAACAAGTGCCCTATTTAATTATTAGTTACGTTTTACTTGGAATATCCCCTTTGTATTTTGGATTTTGGATTTTTTTTCTTTTTGTTTGGACTTTTATTTTGTACTTTTTATTACATATTTATAAGATTTTATCATAATTAAAAAAAACTGCAATAAAGCAAGGCCATTTATATAGTTATTTATTAACCCAACGGAGCAAGTAGATGAAAGTGTTGATTGGCACCTCTTCAGCCGTTCAAGCTCCGCCAGTAACATCCTCTCTTAAAAATACAATAACAATGAAATTATGATATTTCGTTGTACTTTATAATTTAGTTTTTGTATTATATTATATTAAAATCTTAAAATTAGCTCACTCGTCAAAAGTATTTTCTTAACTCTGAAAACCAATATTGGTGGTTTTTAAAGCATAAATTTATGAAGTAGAAATGATTATAATATTGTAATCCATAAAAAGCGGATACGATAGTTGACCTATTGAGAATAATTGAAACCAAAGAACTTCACATAACAAGTCCTTTAATTGCAAGGAAATCATCGTTTCAGTCCCCAAGGACTGTAGTTCGCAACTATATTTGCGAACCAAACCAACAATCGAAGAATCCAGTAATTTAGAGAGAGCGAAAGCTACCAACTTTTAAAAACATTATTTGTAATGTGCATTGCTTATGGCACCAACCTATGCATCTCTCTATATTTCATATGTGATATATAATCCGAAAGAATTATCAGCACGTACTAAAACAGCATACTCTGTGTTCGTATATTTCATCTCACATATGCATTAGGAAGCAACAGTCTCACATGATTTCACTGGCTCTGGCGTGTTTCTTCCGGGCTCTTTGCTTTGCCTCTAAGCATGTCAGTGACCCTCATGATTCGCATGAATCCACCAGTATCCTCTGCTGCAGCTGGTGATGGTGAAGCTGCATAATTCGGGGGTTCTACTGGTTCGGTTGGTGATTCCGTAATTTCTTTCTTGCCTAGCAGCCCACCTTCACCGAAAAAGCTAGTCACTGATGATGGCATCCCGAGGTGAGCTCCCATCACCTTACTAAAAGCCTCTAAAGTCCCACCCGACCTTTCTTTCAATATTATTTCAAGGGCCTCTTTGTGCGCTGGATCTAGTGCATCAGGGTCTTTTAACAAGTTCTGTATGGCGGGGAGGAGGAAACTGCGGATGCTATTTGCTGAAAGATCTGCCAAAAAAAACAACAAGGGATAAGCACCAAAATTACATCGGACCTCTTTTAGATGCAAATATGAAGGTACACAGATGAATCATTTGAAATGAATCAGGAAGGAATAAGGCTCCAAGAAGGTGTGCCTGCAGCTCATCCCCTTGTTCGGTTCCTTGAGAGTGAGAATTCACCCGCTCACCTTTCTTTTTTCAGCGATAACAAGGAAAATAATGGAGAACACAGGATGGGGAGAAAGGTGTTGCCATGGCAATAACTAAGAGAAGCAAACCTGTGGCATCCAGAGCACGAACAGCTTCACAAAAAGCATTAGCTCTCTGCTGACGACGCATCACATCCGTCGTAGAAACAGGTGTGCTTGTCAGCTGGAAAATCTTGGATAAAAGATGTACATCGTGTTAAGGAGACAATGGGTTATCAGTTCTAACAATAAATGGACAGTGGCATCCACAACTGACTAAATCAAAACACACAATTCAATCAACAAATTTCTAAAAATTGATTTTGAAATGAAAGTCAAAGGATATAATCCCTAAGTCTCTCTGTTGTATGTGGAACAGCTACCACTAATGAATGGACCACAGCAATAGTTGCTTCAAGGGATCCATCTTCGAGGAAAGCATCCATTTGAACACGTATTTTATCAACAATCTGCAACACATTGAATTAGAAAGAACAATACATAAGGAACCGTACCGGCATGAATCAGAACAAAACCCCTGTACCATATCATTTTTAAAATGTTGCGCCACAGCTCCAAATGCATCTATGCTTGCATACTTCACGTTCAGGTTTTGGTCAGAGCCAAGGGTAATCAAGGCAGGGAGAACATGTGTCGATGCAACTTTCGCATCAATATATGGCACCTATTAAATGTACAAAGTCAATATCTTATTATCAGATATAGCAGGATATGTTTGTTTCAAAAGAAAGAGAAACTTACAATGACTTTGAGTATATTGGCAGCACTGATCTTCATTTCTATATTAGAACGTACAACCATTTCCCACAAGATATTAAATATCATGCCATGATGTTCTTCAAAAGTGCTGGCATTATTGAAGAGAATTCTTTGTTAAATGCATAACAATAAATATCAAATAATTAGGACAAAGGTTCTTTAAATTACAGACCAAAGGAAGCGGACAGCATTAACAATATCCATGTTGTGTGTTGCAGAGCGAGACTCTTTTGTGGCACCTTCCAGTAGCAGCTTTCTCAAGTAGTCAGGTAACTGTTGACGCTTAAGAGGAGATCCTAGAACACCCGCCAAGAGAAGTGGTAGGATGCCTATAATAGCAAGTCTCTCTGCCACAGCTGTTCTTGGTCTCAAACCTGCAATCAAGAAACAATTGAGGAATATGCAATGAATACAGGTTAACAAGACTCGATGGATCCCATACCTTTGATTCTTGAATGAACGTTGGGAGGGAAAAACATCAAATCACCCTCATCCCCAATTGCTACCAAGAATACAGGTAGCATTATGTGTGTCAGATAAGAATCTCCAAAACATTCAGAAACAGCCAACAAAAACTGCAATGTAAACAAGAACACGAACATTAATTTCAATAGAACAAGCAATGGAAAGCAGAAGATCCCATTAAAAATGTGCTACCGAGTCCTAACAAAATACCTTAGTAATTTGGTTTCTTAATTTATCTTCTTTCTGGGGTAACAAGCTAGCCAGCTGTAGCAAACAAGAAAAGCAATCGGCATGCACCCATTCAAATGCGGGCCACTCAACATGTCCCCTATTAGAAAATTAAAATCTATGAAAATCAAATCTGTTCATAACTAATCCATCAAATGTCACCCATATACTCATCTCAGATATAAATGGGAATGCAAGCATGGTAAAAATAACAGAGAGAGAAAAAGTATACCCCGCATATAGTTCAAGTACCGAGTTGGAAAATAATGTCTCATTAGACTCCGAAACAGAGGAAAATGGGCAAGTCTCAATTGCTTTCTGATGAACAAAAGGAAGTAATTCAGCCAGCATTCTTAACAAAACATCAAGATTCCAGCGCTCTTGTTCACCTAAAACACGAAGGTGTGACTCCACAGACCCTTCAACTCCGGAAAGAGGTGGGCAACGCTGAAAATGTAGGGGGAATAACATTGAAACGTAGAAGCATTGCAAACTGGAAATAGTATCAGCTGGTAAATCATAAATGAGAATTGAAAAGGCAAAACGTTACCTGAGCAGAGCCTAAGATATGAGAGAGTAGAACTCTCAAAATATGGTCTAATTTGTTTTCCCAATTTATTACTGCGGGAAGTAGTTCCTTTAGTGTTGTTTCAACCACCACTCCAGATGGATCACAGGCCAATTGGAACATCAACTCTTCAACCTATCAATAAACAAATAAGGCATTGTATAACCTTTATATATATATATATATATTTTACTCTGTATCTTTCAAGTCATGATATGATATTATGCTAAGGGCAAAAGGCTCCATTCCCTAGACCATGGGTCATTAACCTGTTCTAGAGCTTACACTGCAGCCAATTCTGTCAAAGAATTTCTTCTCCATGATTGCCTTGAAACATATTTAGTGAAGCTGACCTTGAAATATTTATCCATAAGCGGAAAGAGCGGAAGCAGCAAGGCCAGATTGTGTGCAGCAGCTTCTCGAACAACTGTTGCGGGATCTTCTACTAGTTGTTGCACAATAGATAAAATAAGAGAATCACGAATCTCAGGTCGGACGAATTCAGCAAGCTCCCCACATGATTGTGCAACCAGTAATCTACGCTCCTCATACATGTGATTTATCTGAATTTAGAAAAACCAGAAAAGAAAAGACATATCAGGCTACGACAGATATAACTGAGAAAAAACAATAAATAAGCAGTAGAGAAATTCACCTGTTCCCAGCACTGGGGAAGTAATTCTGTTTCTGTTCTCATCTCCCCAACATTTTTAGCAAGGCTAACACATGCCTGAAGTGTAGTTGAAAGGATTTAGCACCATAACAAAACT